TCAGTTCACAGAAAGCTGACCCCATTTCCATTTCCCTGCCAGGCGTCGACAGCCAGTGGATGCAGACGCTGCGGATGCACCAGATAGCGAAAGCCATTTCTCTCCAGCACGGCCACCCGCACAGCCCGACCACCATCACCCAGTACCTGCCCTACCTTCGCAGCCAGGACTCCTACGCCGCCGCCGTGAGGAGGACGCGTGGCCCCGTCAGTTACCAGTTCACGTCCATCAGCCACTCCAGAAACTCCTCTCCCCTCTCGCACGGTTTGATGAGAAACCTCTCGAATCTGCACCTGAACTCGAAGGGCAGCAGCACCTCCAGCACGGCCTCCGACACCGCTTCGGAGAGGGACAGGTCTGCCGGCAAAGGCAGAAACGCCTCGCACAGCGCGAACTCCCGCAGCTCCTCGGACGGGCGGCGCAGCGGGACCAGCTCCCCGGTGCCTCCCCGGCTCCCGGGAAGAGGCGGCAGGTAGAGTCGGGGGGGGGGGGTGGATAAAGGTGCAGCATGCGAAGAAGCCCCACAGGCAGACGGCCGGCAAGCCAGGGAAGGAGAGGTCCAGAGGGAGCTGGCGGGGCCGGAGGACGTTCTGAGGGAGGAATTTGCCCCTTTGTTTAACTTGAACGTTCAAACTAGAGAAGATACATCTGCCCCTATTTAATTCTCTGCACCAAGGCCGGGACACCACGGCCCTCGCTGGGCTGGGGCCTGCCAGTAGGAGGGGAGAGCTGCCCGCCTCGCCTCCTGGCACCGCCAGCGGCTCCCGCTACCGGCGCCAAGGGATTTCACTCGATTTTCTCCCTCCCGTTTGGCTGCTCGTGTTCTCGGCTGACTGGATGTCCACTGATTTGCTTAATATTTCAATAATAAAATCAGGAAGGCACAGCCGGGTGCTGTAAAGAAAGGCTCTCCGTTTCATCCTTAGGGGAGGAGTTGTGGTGCTACACCTCCCCTCGCCTTGCTTATGTCTCCAGACACCGAGGCCAGCTCCGAGCCGGGTCTCCTCACCCCTTGTTCAATCTGCTTCTGCCAGGGCTATAGGAAGAGGTAGTATTTTTATGAGACCAGCATAGTCTGAAAAAACAGGGATGCAGGGAGATTTTTCTTCAGGTCCACTCCAGTAGCTTCACTTCTCCACTTCCAGCTTGCCGTCCCGTCTCAGGAATGTCCCACCTTGCTCTTTACTAAAAGCCCCGACACCAGCTACCCCACACCACTGAGCACACTGTCACACACACGGTTGTTGGAACCAGAAGGAGAAACAAAAACTTGGCTTTATTCTTTCGGGGAAAAAAACAAAAATTGAGTGAGAAAAAGGCATTGCCTTTATCATACTTACATCCAACGCCACTGAGGTCTATGATAATGTTTATCCCTGGGCAGCAGGCATTTTGTAGTTGAATTTTTGAATGTGGCCAGACTGTGTCGCTTTTGTCTTTCAGTCTTCAGGTAGTAAAGACAAGGTCAGTAAAGTTTCTGATTAATGTGGTCTTTAACTCCACTGAGAACAAAGACACAGCTGTCGACTCACTTGTCATCGAAAAGTTTCTTCTTGGCCTTTTTGCTCCAAGCTGATTTCACACAATTAAAAAGGGGAAAAAATAAAAAAGGGTTTCCGAAGATGCAAGAGGGGAAAAAAAAAGGAAGAAACAGACAAAGGAAGCTGAACCCAAAGCAACGCACGGTACCCTCTGAAAGCCAAGAAACTGTAAATTAGAGATGCCTTTGAACAAGGTGCTACATTCCATCCATGCCAAGCGGAGCTCGCTGGCATGCAGTTGTCACCCCCTCGATGAACCCCATCACCATAGCCCTGTCACTGACGTTTGAAAGGACATGTACGTGTCCTGCTCCACAAAAAGGCCACTCCTGGGTGTACGTGCAGCTCTCCTCCCTCCGATTCCCACCAGCCCCAGTGAGGGCTGAGTCCTGTGGTGGGTTTCCCAATACCTACCAGGGCAAACTGGGACTCACACTCCATGAATTTAGGACAGGGTCCACCAAAACCAATGGAGCAGGACACAACTGATACCAGGAGTCAGGAGTTGGATCTCTGTCATTTTAGCACCTTTTCCTCTAAAAACAGGTAGGAACAGAAAAAACAGCAAGAAGCTTTACCTGCAATTAAATGGGGCTGCACGTGAAGCTCTGTGATAACAAAGCTTGCTGCTTTCTTGTGTCTTCAAACTGGTTGAAAGCTAGTTAGTAGCCAAGCTTCTGACCCTGGTTTAATGAACCTGACAACAAATTTGGGGGACATGAACAATCCATCACTGGATGTTTCTCTGTCACAACTTCGCGGGAGACTGGCATTTTGTCTAGGTGGGGGATCCTTCCCTAACATTTCTTGCCATGACCAAAATGGGCTGGAGGATACCAGCTGCTAGTAACCACACCTGAGAGCACTTGCTAGAAATGTGCTTCTGTTATTAAAATCTGAATATGCATCTCGAGAAGCGAGATCTTGTTTCATGGTTGGGCCTGCACAAATCCTAGAAAGAAATTGCGAGAGTTTGGAAGGGTTACATTTCTCTTGCAGGGTGGTGAGGACGGCAGTGTGGTTGTACAAGCCTGAAAACAAGGCCCTACCCAGCAGACGCTGTGGGCTGGTGGTGGCAATTCAAGATTTATCAGCTGCCTGTGGTTGATTGTCAAGATGTCCAGAAGGATTCCTCTGCTGTCTGTAAGCAATTTAATGCTGCGCCTAATTTTAATCTGCAATGTACTGTCTGTCCACAACTGTTGTATTAAAGTGTTCATTAGCATTTAAAGGAGGAGCGGATGGTATTGATCACGCCTATTAAAATTAAACAATCATGCAATAGTGCCTGATTAGAAAACCTCTTGCTGCACCAGCATTGCTGGTTAAAGCAACAGTGAGTGAACTTTAAAACAAAAAAGAGATTCTCAGCGAGATCTCGTTTTCCATCTCATTTTTATCACTCAGTGTGGCTATTCCCCATCTTGGCAATAACTCATCATAAGTCAAAATGTGCTTACATTTTCACCCTGCAGTAGTTCACAAAGCCCAGCAATTTATTTCCATGTTTTACCAAGACACAGTGACCACTGGCGAGAAGACTGTGCACAGCGACGTGGAAGGTCAGACTGCCTCGGGCAACTGCACCACAGCAAATGTCCGTTCTTTGGAAGGGAGCGTGCTGCGTTTTCTTAGGGGCTGCTTACAAGTCCGTTAAAGGCAATCACATTGAAGTACCAGTAGCTCTAGATGTGCGCACCAGGAGCTGGAGACGCTGTCCTCCATCCACGCACGTATCCTCAGCAGTGCCACAGCCTTCCTCCATGGCTTACTCTGCAAGCGGCGCAGAATACCACTGCTGCAGAGCCGCCCCTGGTTTGCCTGGCTCTCCTTTCTCGTGGGCTTCATATCTCCATGCACCGATTTTGCTGTTCTCTGAATCCCCAAAAGGTACCTGCATTTTCCTTTTCTACAGTTTAAAATGCTCTGCGTTGTAAGAAGCCAGCTCTGGCGTGCTGCTGGAATGGATGATGAGAAACAGTGGAGAACTCAGGAAGGCAAATAGTGAGTATTTATGTCCAATGGGGAGAATGTTTACAAGATCAGATACAAATTTTCTGGTTTTTGTTTTTGTTGTTTTTTGTGGTTTTTTTTTAATTAAAGTGCGACACTGACTGTCAGAGCTTACACAGAATCTGTTTGTTTGGCAACATTTTACTCCAAATCTTGTGGGAATCGCAAGCATTGTGCAGCTCCCTCTGGGTGCCAGACATGGGTTTCGGGGTGAACAGCAGCGCCTCAGTGCAGCCGTTGGCTCCTAACCCCGCTGGTGGGCTGGCAGGGAGGAAGCGGTGCTCAGCTCAGGCAGGAAGAGCAGGTTAACCTCAGCATTACGGTCATCGGTTTTCTGAAACTGTACAGGCTTCCCCCTGCAGCTGATGTCCTCATGGCATAGGCTAAAATGATGCTAATGCTTCCTTCTTTTTCTGACAACAAAATGTGTGGTTCAATTTTTTTTAAGCTTTTTTTGCATGTGTGTTTGTCTTTCCCATATACCTAAGGGTGTCTTAAAAAAAAGAAAAGAAAACAGGAGGATGAAGAGCTGGCACTTAACACTGAGGTTAGCAATCGTTCTTCTTCAGCTTGGCAAGGTGTCCCAGAGCTGGGTCTGACTCTGGTGGGTGTTGGCTTCCTCAGCACACCGATTTCTCCAGCAGCACTGGGGCACCTGCCACTGCTGCCAGAGGGACTGGTCGTAAGCGCCGAGTGTCCTGGGGACCCGCCCTGCGGAGGGGCCAGCAGCCAGCCCAGCAGCCCAGCGCGGTGCTGCACATGGAAGGGGCTGAGCGACTCTCAGGGCACGTGTTCCCCATGTCCTGCTGGTCAGAGGCATGTCTGCCACGGTGCTGCAAACCAGCCGGCATTTCCAGCGCCTGCAAGACCCTGCTCCTAAGCACAGCAGGCGGGACGAGAGTGTGAGGCTCCCTGGAGCAAAACCATCGCCCCATCCTGCACACACAGACCGCTTTTGCTCACGCGGAGCCTGGGGCTGAGGGGGCTGCCCGCCTGCAGCCTGCTCGGCAGAGCCGAAGGCATCTCCGAAAGGGCGAGGGCTGCTCGGAGGGCTTCTGTAGCTGCTCCTCTGCCCAGGTGGGGAGAGGGTGAAACGGCAGAGTAACCCATCTCCCAGCTCAACCCCTCACACAAGCCTTTCCTTTTCCAGCAGAGCCTTTGCAAATTAACAGAAGGATGATTGTCGCAGCGGTGACAGCCCCCTGAGCAGTCCAAGGGGCCCAAAAATCATAACCCCAGGCTGTTCCTCACCCTAACCCTCTGTGACACGAGTAGACCGTCAATCCATCCCAAGGCAGCGGAGCTGCGGAGGTTGCTTTTTATGGACTGGGCAGGAATTTCACCCAGCTCAGTGATTCATCTGGGCAGCACTGCAGTCTCTCTCTTGCAACATTTCTACTTGTTGCTTTGGCCTCTTACGGATCTCAAAGCACATACCAAAACATTATGGCTGCGCGGCGCTGCCCTCGGCAGGAAGATAAACAGAAGCGATGGTCAGAGAGGGGAGATGGGGTGGCCGTCAGCCCCATGTCGCTGGGGAACGTGGCTGCCAGGGATTCAGCCTGTCCGACCGCCGCCACGGTGCGCTGTGCCTCTGTGCTGGGGGGATCTGGTCATCCTGACTAGGTGGGATGGGGTGACTGCGGGACCTGGTCACCCTGCGCTGCTGCCAGTAGCGGGGGGACGCCAGCGGCCCCTTGGTCTCCCCACCTACACCCGGATCTCAGGGATGCCATGCCAGCGGTGCCATGCTCCCAGCAACAGCGGTGCTCAGGGCTGGGGTTCACGCGTGTCATTGCTGCTGGTTGATTATTTCTGTGAAATGCTAGAGAAAGCAAACGGGGTTCCTGCTCAGCTGGGAGGGGAGAGCGCCCGTTCGTGCCTCCCCCCGGCACTGCCATGGCTGAGCTAACGCCTGGTGAGAACCTGTTCTCTCGCTGGCATTGGTGTGAAACAGGGACAGGTGTTTTTGGACATTGTTTGCTTTTTAAAGAAAATAATTGCTGCTGCAGTTTTGCTCTTTCTAACCTGCTCCCACTGATTATTTTCTAGTGATTAGCCGTGTCTGAGAGCAACGCCACCCATCCTGGGCACACACCAAACCCCCGACACTGACCACGATCTGGCAACTTGCCGAGCTGATTTAAAGAGCAGACGTTACCCAAACTCCCTGTGTCCCCCTTCCCTCCTCACTCGGAGCAACAGCCTGTGGCCGGGGCACCCCTCACCACTGTCCTCCTCTCCAGCTCAGCCGATGCTGCTGAGGATCAAACTCCAAGTATTTTAAGACTTTCTGTAAACTTGCTGCCAAGAATACTGGACTGTGCATCAAAGAAAAGTACTTGATTTTTTTGATTGTGCTAGAGAATGCACTTTGACCTAGTTATTATTATTATTATTGTTACTTTAGGCTGGGAAAGACGGGCAGTTTCTTTTGTAATTGTGGAAATACCCCAAACCGAGAGACCTCCTGACATCTCACATCACTAAAATGGAACCAAATAGCTGTGCTACCTCTGAAAATTACATCTGACAGAATTATTTTCTGTATATGTGTCCACCATAGAAGGGTTTTTACATAATTTTCTTATCTAATGAAGTGCCAAAGCTTAGCAGTTCAAGCCAGTTTGTTGCAAAAAGTTAGAGGTTATGGACGAGAAGTCTATTATGGCAATAACACTAATAAGGGTCTGCCAAGATCACATTAGAGTATGTGTAAACACAGGGCATTTGAGATGAACGTCTCGGAGGACAGAGGAATGGGGCTGGCAGGCAGCGGCAGCCCACAGCGGCTGGCAGGGGACCGGGGCTGGCAGGCGGCGGCACCCCACAGCGGCTGAGAGATGGGGTAGAGCGTGCGGCCCCTCTCCGCAGCCCCCACCCCAGCACCACCTCTGCTCCCCACCGCGTCCCACCGCTCCCGACCAGCCGCCCGCCTGCCCGCAGGTCCGTGCTTCCTCCTAGAAGTGTCGTGAGGCGGTTTTGCAGGTGCTGACGGACTACAGACATGAACACTGTGCTATGTAGAATGAAGTGGCTTAATCTACCAGGCACTCAACGTATACATTTATTTTCCTGCCTTCGCAAGAAAGGTGAGGGCTCCCTGCAGCAGAGAGAGGGCATTTCCCTCATGCTGTGACAAAACACAAGCAGGGCCTGAGCTGTGCCCTGGGGACCCCTGGCAGGCAGTAGCAAGTCCTGGGGGGGACTTTCTACTGTATCCCCCCCTGCCTGCCTCCCTCCCGAGGGAGCTGCCAGGACAGAAGTGCCTGGGGAGAAGGTTAGGCCACCACCTGTCCCCCCACTCCCATCCTCTCCCAGCAACTGCATCTTGCTGAAGGCTGGTGGAGGAGGTACAAATCAACATGCACAAAACGACAGTGGCAAGCCTTACATAAAAGGGCAAAAGCCCCACACTGCAGTAAGAATTTTTTATTATTTTCTGATAGCCTCCTATTTCCCACAGCTATGCATTTGCAGAACATTTTGTAAGCAATTTCTTTATGATGTGACAATCTATTTTGTGTTTTCAAAGGGAAATATAAATTAAAGCCCACGAGTGAAAGGGCTGGGATCTTAAGCTTTTAAAAGTGGCTACTGCATCTCAACAACAGCTACTTTTGATCACCATTTTTTGCTATGCATTTTGTGGAATGGCTACAGGATACTCAAATGAGCATTATAATTACACTCCCATAATGTGCATCACAATGCTGCGGGCTCTGAATGATCTGGTACGACATATACTTGGAATAATCATTAAGATTTCTATCAAAACTGACCACATTTCAGCCATTCTCTTAGTGCACTGATGAATATAGGTTCCTAGATGCATTTATCAACTGCACTTTTTCTGTCCCTGGGCTGTACTTATTCCTTTGGTTTTCCTTCTCTTATTCTTTCCATTTTTATGGTCTCGCCGGTTTGTGTCAAAGAAACACGGTATCGAGTGGGATCAGACACGACCACCTTCAATTCAGCATGCAGGACGCATTTGTACCCAGCCTTTACTATCAGGAACTTAGAGCAAAGCACAAGGAGGTACAAGACTCTTAAATTAAAAGGGGAAAATATATTTTTCCTTGGAGGGAGAAAAAAGGAAAAAGATACTAAGTGCATTGTGGAGGTACTTTGTGGAGCTGGTATAGTTGGTCTTGGCTATAAACTGATTATACATGCTAAATATTTTAATTTACATTTATTGTACAAATTCTGGTTCTCCCTACCAGAGCACAATGTCAAAGTATTTACAGTAAAAAAGTACTTCATAAAAATTAATGTCCAGCAACCATGTAGAGGTCTAACTATAATTAAATCTCCAAAAGTAGCCACCCTCCTGCTTCTGTATGAGAACAAGTGTCCTTTCTGGGTTGCAATCAACAGGAGGTTACCTAATTATACACCTTACTATGTCTCGTATAGTGGTGTTAGCCACTGGAGGGTGACATGTGAACAAATACATATGCTTGATCAGATCTCTTTTACAGAAACACACCTTTCAAGAGAGAGAAAAACAATTAGTGTGTGTTATAGGTTACCGATTTACAATTTACATCATAAATCAATGTCTGATTATTTTAATGCAAAATGTTTTTAGCTTTACTTTATTGCACTAACGGTTTCAATAACACTATAATTTGCTCAGATAAAGAGGTGATTGGACAGCTCTTACAGAAATTTTTAATTACTGTCATTAGTGGCTGCAATCTTACTCTTTTCTATGGAGCTAAGATATGTGTTATTGCATTGTGCTACAGGTACTCTGCGGTCGTAAGAATCCAGACTGTCCCTTTCCACTGAAATACCTGCATCTATAAATCTGTGTCAGTGTGCAAGTCCCATCACAATAATTACTGGCATCACACAAACATTAATGAATGTATCCACATGCTATTTTAGGCAGGTAGAAATGTATTGCCCCCATTTTTTTTAAAAAAGGGAAACTAGAGCATAAAGTGTGTTGTCCATATTTGAGATAGAAAAGCGTGTAGGAGAGCCAGAGACGGGGCAGCAGAAGCCCTGCCTCCAGAGAGAAAAGCTGTGGTGCAGTCTGTGGGGTGACATGGAGGACAGTGCTTGTCCTTCGTCCCGCCGGACCAAAGGTCATGTTCACTGTTTCTGACAATGGAGCTATTGTTGTTGGAGGTCCATGTTCTTCTATTGCTTGAAGCTCCTAAACGTAAACAACTTTATTTCCCCTAGACGGATGCAGAAAGCGCTGCACGCTCAGTCCACTGCATGTTCCTCTGTAATTTCAGCTGATTCCGTTAGCAGGTCTTCCAAGGGCCGCTGCCATGTACCGACAACCCATTTCAAGGAAAGACACGAATTTAAGAGACTGTTTTCTTGGAAAGACCTGTCAAAATACTCCAGATCATCTTTGCTGATGGCCCCCCCCCGCCGCTGGGCAGTAGGGGAGGCAGAGAGGCTGGTAGCACCGGACAGGCCGCGCAGGACTCGGGCTGGGGGACCGAACGGGCAGGGGTGTTTTCTTCTACTCACATTCGCCTAATTTGAGTTAAATGGGGCTGAAAATGCGCTGGTCACCTGGGTTCAGCTTTGCATGACCTCAGCTGTTGTAAACAGCTGGGTGTAGGACAGTGGTACTGCCCACATCTCGACAAACACGAAGAAACGTTTTCCATCATGGTGAAGTGGGTTGGTGAGTTTGTCCTGCCCACCACGGAGGGCGTCGGGGCCCTGCAGGGTGGGACACGGCCGCAAAGGGCGGGAAGATGAGTGCAGGGAGTGGCGGCGGCACAGGTTCCCGCAGCCGTCTCCCGAGTCACAGACCTTCACCTTCGGTACCCTGCAGTGTACCGCGGGAAGGGAAGCCCCTGCCCTTCACATACCGCCCGTTTCTCTTCTCCCTTCCCTGCCCCCTTCTCCCCAGTCCCCTGTAAAATATGTGAGCTGACATATGCAGTTTTCAATAAATGAATTCTTTTTCACATATTCAAAAAAAAAGCTGAAAATACAGTTCAGTAAATGTCATGTCCAGTTTCCCCACAAAGTCCCTGCTCTGGCCTATTAATTTTAAAGTCACTTGGCTACATATGTTGGTTGAAGAACACTGTTTCCATTATGCATTAAATGGAAAATTAACTGCAGTCTGAAGTACGGATTCAGCCAGCCCCATCAGTACTCCATAACATTTCATAGGATGCTCTTAAAAGCTGCGAAGGTTGGCTGCTTTTCTAGTAAAATCCTGATAGTTGTGATTCAAGATGCTAAGGGCTGTTACTGTTGAGAAACTGGATCTCTTCTTCCGTGTATGTGAACTAGTATTTGTAGATCTTTTTTTTCTGAAAGAAGTAAAACTACATCAAAACTCAAGAAACATCCCCCCTTCCCAACTGAGCTGTCTTAGCTGGAAACCACCTGGGTGGCAATCCTCCACTAATGCGGATTTAGAGGAATCGAGTGTGGTTTGGTCTCCAGAGAACCAGGTTTAGTTCATCTGCTTTTGTGCGTGTGCTGGGAAGCCGTTGGTGCAGGTAAGTATGTAATTATGGGCTTATTTAAAATGGAGATTCTTTTACTCGGTGGATTGCAGCGCGCGCAGGAAGAACAATGCCCACAGAAAACAGAAAACCCTCCTCCGCGAGGGCTCGTACTCTGTTGTGCCGCAGCCTATTTACAGGCTTTGGCTCAGAGATGACTCGTGGTTTGCTTTACACGGGCGTGGGTCTACGTGCGGGCTGCACGTGCACGGGGCCTGCTTCCCTCGCGCC